CAGGCCAAGCAGCATCAGAGGAACAGGAAAGCTGACGTTTTGGGTCTTCTGAAGAAATCTTCTGAAGAAGGGTCCCAACCCGAAACATCAGCTTTCCTGTTCCTCTGATGCTGCCTGGCCTGCTGTGTTCCTCCAGTTCCACACTTTGTCATCTCTGACTCCAGCATCTATAATTCTTGCTATCACAATTAAAAACAGGCGTGTTTTCACTAGTAACCCAATAAAACAACAAAAAAGTGATAGTTTTTTTTCCTGTATTTTGGTTAAGATTAAGAATTGTCAAAACAAAAAATGTAGATTGATGGCAGCTTTGAGGAAATTGTGATATTATAGTAGGGCCTACATGACATGTTCTGTTTCCTTCAGCTGTTTTTATTCATCTTACCAATGGGCCATTATTTAATGTTTTATCCATACCACTACAATTCTTCCCTGCATAATCTGATGCTGAAGCTTTTAATCATCCAATTGTATAGTTTCCTCTCATTAACTACCACATGGGCCATCAGTTAATCTATTCATTTATACTTTGTTATAGATATTATTTAATGAATTCATGGTGGAATCCTGTAGCGATATACTTTGTATTTCAAATGAACTGCTTCCCATTTGCAAAGATCATTTTACTATTTAACTTTGGCAATCTCCTTAAGCTTGTCTAAACTTTTTTTATCGCAATATTTGTGGTTTCTCGAGAACTGTGAGATGTCGGGCCTCAACTTTTATGAAGTGAAATTCTATTACATGTAAAGCACTTGTACTTGGCTGTGTTTGTCACTAACAAGACACAAAGGAACAATATATGAACAAGTTAGTACAATAGGTGAAATTCAGCATGGTTTGGTTAAGGTCACGTGATATATGAGCAAACAACCACAAACCAATGATTAAAATTCTTTCTATAAATTAAAGGAAAGCCTCTTTTCATGTTTATATTGCTCTGGAGCATTGCAACATAGAGAAGGGTTTTATAAAGGCTACAGAGTTCAATTCAAAGCAGACAAATAAAGAATTACCCCTGCTCATTATGTCGTTGATTTTAAAAGCTCTGATGAAGGTAGTCAGGAAAGTAGTTGCCTGCTCACAATCCTCAGCGAGTAGCTGAGTGCTCAAGAAGATTTAACATAAAAGAATGTTTGAAAGAAATCTTAAAATAAAAGAGTTATATTCAATATCAATATAATAAATGTATGTACTATAAATTAAAACAAAATATGGTGCAACTTTAAAATGTTTAGTTCACATAACATGCTTTAGGAGTGATTTAGAAACTGTTTGAATCTGCACTCATTTCACTGGCATACTTCAGAGGCATCAAGGTGGCCAGTAAGTGGTGCCAAAAGTGAATGTTTTGCAACAGGCATTTACAACTAAGAGATCTAATATTGTTTGAGAATCCCGTTGTACAGAATTCAAGAAATATGGTCAACATATGGCTTGAATAACAATCTTCAAAAGGGGCTGTTGAAGCCCGCCATCAAGATGACAGGCTTGTCGAAGTTACTCACCTGAAAAATCCTCCATGTTTCACTGCAATGCTGAACATTGTTAGAATTCATTTGATGTACTCCTCCTCTGCCATTTGTTGACCGCAGTAATTGGGCCCCTCCCTCCACATTGCCTCCCAACTTCCTCAATTGCTTTCACACTCTGCCTGTTTCCCCAGTGCCAGTTACCTCTGATATTTGTCTAATCTCCTGCCCCTGACTCCAGATGACCCACTCTCCCTCCCAATCAGCACCTTAGGGGCTAAGACTAATGATCCAGCTGCTGTAAATACCAACCTGATGTACCGACAAGATGACCAGGCATAACCGATGCTGCTGTGTGTCCACAGCTTGCTTGTCTAAGTTGATAAGCCTCAAACCTGCTGGTTATGATGCAGGTATAATTATCTGTGCCAGTTCATTTTGGCCTGTTGGCACAAACTACTTTCTAGATTAATGTTTCCCTTGATCAGGGATTGTTATCCTTACTGGATAGGCCTATGTCTGTCTCCAAGGTTTCCCCTCAGTCAACCTGCAGGCTCTGTAGCATCATATCCTCAAAGTACTTCCTCGCAGTGATGCAACATGTATTCTTAAATGTAGAGTTCTGTCTAAAAGGTATGTTATTTGCACAAAATAAAGAAGAGAAAACAAAATAAAGAGAATGCTTCAGGGAAACAAAAATGATGGTAAAGTAAGGATATTCTTCATTTTACCCTGTTACCTTTCATCATATCTATAACTTATCTTGCTTGGGATATTATTAAAATGGAAGAATAAAAGGGAGACAAACTTCAAAGTGTGTTAAATTACAAATTCTCATACCCTGCACTAAGGTAAGATTTTTCAGGGTAATTGAATGTTCCCAGTCTTTCAGTTTTAGGTCTTCTGTGACATTGCTGAGTATGGCGACCTCATCCTTCAGTTGTTTCTCCATATTTTGCTGAACGACTTTCAAGATTTTTGCATCTTCTGACACATTAGCTACTTGTATTTGAAGCTGTAGTAGACTTGCATGGTGGATGCTTATATCCTCTGTGAAGGTGCCATTGACTGCATTTAGTGTCCAACGTGCCTCCTTTATCTGTCTACTAAGATTTCCTACATTTGATGTTATTTGTTTCAAGTTTACTTGTTGGTGTCGCAGTTTACTCTGTGCACTGTTTATATTTATAGACAAATTGTATATCTCTTGTCTGTTTGTTGAACTGAACTGTTGTAAATCATCTTCTAAATCATTCATAGATGCATTAATGTCATCCATGCGTGTCTCAAAACTCTGCAACTTGTTTTCCAGTTTCTGAACAGACTGACTCAGTTGAAGGAATAGGATTGTATGATTCTGGAAAAGCTCATGCAGTTTGAAAATATTATCCATGACGTCTTCTTTGGGTGCCTTCTGCTCCATTGTTTGACGCATGTCTTTGAAGCCTTCACCTAAGTTTGTAACATTGTCTGTTAATATTTTCCAATCAGAAGGTGGAGGTTGATATCTGGGAACTGAAATATATCAAAAGAAGCGTCACTTGTAAACATCCTGCTGTCATTTGATCTTACATCTTTTGGATAAGGGTTTCTTTAAACACTCAATAAAAGTGAACAATTAGCAATTCTTTGTACATCAATTCATTTACTCAAGTCAGAATCAAACTATGTATTTTTATACAAAATGGTTTAAAAAAATACGTTGCTCTCTGCAAAAGATTCACAAAATTTACTGTACAAATAATTGAGAACTAGATAATGGGTGGACATATTCTGTTTGGATGGGCTTTAAAAAATATTTTTGACATATTGGATGAAACATAGAGTTAAGTCACCACAGTCCTATCAGATCAAAGGGCTGCTCTGTCTTTAGAGAGAGATGACTGGTGGTGGCAGCTTAATTGAGAGTCTAAGGAGTGTCCTTCGTGGTAATATTAGTTAGTACAGGAATTGAACCTATGCTGTTGGTATTATCCTGCATTGCAAACCAGCCATCTAAACTATGATCACTGGAAATGGTACATATGCTTGACCAAGTACGGGTGTATTAGAATTTATTTGCTTCTCGTTAGAAACAGGTAATTATAACTTTTTCTACAAACATTTGTTCTGATCAATGTAATGGAAAACATTTTGATTTTGTGAAGCTCTTTACCATGTTTTACATGCTTCCTCTCTTAAGGGAGTGATTTGTACTGGGATAGAGTGTCATTAGTCCCTTCTGGTGCCTCACCTAGTGGCTGTATTCGCAGAAGAACTTAATAATCAGCACCACTGAACATTATCTGTCCAGTTCTTTCTCATTTCAGTTCTTGTGAATCCTTTCATATTACCAGGAAAAGACAATTTTATCTTCCAGTAGCCCCAGTGCTCTGTTGGCTGAGTTCATCGAACTGAACATAAAATCATCTTGAGAATTTCTTTAATTTTGAGGCTAAGCATCTCTTCATAATGAATCACTAGAAAAGCCTCATTACGAGAATTCTTTTCCTAATTTAAAACAATTCAATTATGTCAAACAAATTGAAGCATACAAATAGAGGATGTTCAACGCATCAGGCAGAATCTTAAATGTCACACAAAGACATAGGGCCAGTAGCAGGTTGGAAACTCAGTTGCAATTGAAATGGGTTTGTCTGTCTCTTTAACTCAGCCATAGTATTGACATTCTACCCTCACATTTCATGATTTATCACAGTAGAAGGATGTGATGACGAATTCTATGTGTCAGAGGAAGGGTTTCTATTTGAAGGGACCCAGGTGGGAATCCTAATAAGTGCTGCATACATTGATTATTGATATTTCACTATGTGCAATGCTAGAGCCATTCCCTAACTGGTATCTAATATAATTCCTGCAGACTTATGATGTTCTTATATATTTCAGCTTAAAGAAAAGCATGCTGTGTGCCTTCTGACACTTTCACACTTCCTTCCTCACTATTGACCTACGCTATCCATTTTGTATCATCTGCAAACTTTGTTCCTATACATCTAAGTCTAAATCATTGGTATACACCACAAAAGGCAAGGGGCTCAGTACTGAACCCTACTCTGGGAACAACTATCCAGACATAAATACATTTTGTTTCCTCTCCCTAAGCTAATTCTGGATCCAACATACCATAATCCCTTGGATGCCACTTTTTTTCATAAATGAGACTTTAACAAAAACCCAACTAAAATTCATTAAGACTATATAGAGCACGTTTCCCTCATCCATCCTCCCCATTAACCGTTCAAAAAGTTCAAACTGGTTAGTTAGATATAACGGGCAAACTGTTCTAGGAGCCACCTGAACTATGGCAAGAATTGTGCAAGAAGTCTGATGAGGCCCATCTTGACAGTGAGAGCATCTCGCTCCATTTGATATGCTTTTGCTGAGTCGCATGGTGAGTTTCTCTGTAGGTCATGGTAAGTTGCCAATTAAGAGGGATTAAAGCTTGTTAAAAGTCTTGCTAATGGCCCAACTCACCACAGTAATATTCATCTTCCTAACTTACCAAACACATCAAACAAGCTAGATGTCAAGAAAACGCAGCTAAGAAATAATCACAGTGAATGATATCAGCTTGCTGCATGCTCCATGCTCGGCTTGGTGACAGTGGGTGAGGGAAGATGTTGCAGGTAATAGTGAGACTGGTAGAGCATGAGCCTTTGTGGGAGGTGGGTATAGTAGCAGAAATAGAGTGAACGTCAAGTACCGGGGGAGAAGCTGGCAGCACTTACATTGGTGAAGTGGAGAAGGTAATTAATCCTCTTTCTATAGTGCTGGGTATTCCTTCAGATGGCTGAGGCTACTCTAAACTGGGTGGTAGCTTTGGACTAAGCTGATATGACCTGGTGTCGTGATCTGCTCCTGGGGGATGTGGAATTTCTGCCTCTACACTACCCCAACCGGTAGGACCTCCAGATCCCTGTTTACAAAGAACAGTGTTGATTTCCCCCATCTAGTAACATCTGGGATAATGTCAGGAACCATGCAGGGTAGCTTCAGACTAACAGTAATTGTCCAGATGTGACAATGTACTTTTAAAGATGGCACGAGCATAAGGGATACTGGTTAATTTGGGCTGTGATGAGTTGTTCCAGGAAGGGCACATGGTAAGATGGGGCTGGAATCAGATGTGAGGGCACCATAGGCATAGAGTAAGTAGTTCATGAGGTAAGTTTCGATGAGAAAGTTTGTGAGGGCCTCATGGCAAAACACCATTCAAATAAACTAAATTCAGCTTGCACTTAGCCAAAAAAGGTGAAATTCACCCCAAGACCTTCATTAACATTTTGCTTTGGCTAAAGACAATTAAGGTTGTAAATAGAATGAATCAAACAAAAACACCAATTTCTGTTTTTGCTTGTTTCAGATCTCCAGCATACACAGTTCTTGTTTTATTCTAAACAAACTGAATGATAGGTATGAAATTGAGACAAGACAGGAACAAGGAATAATTTTGAATAATAAAGAATAATAAGCTAGATCCAAAATGAACAGCCACCAGCAAATAATTACCCTTCAGTTGCTTCCATAATGTTTACTAGCCAGATAGAACTTCTTTGGACAAAACAGCAGAATTACCTTGGTAAACAAATATCACTTTCATTTTCTGATGTTAGTAATGATTTGGGCATATATATGTAAGGAGATACTCAAGGTTATGGTTGGTGGCAAACTGGGAGATGTGACAAAAAACCAAGAACAAGCCAAAGACCACAGGGATAGTAGGAACTGCAGATGCTGGAGAATCCGAGACAACAAGGTGCAGGGCTGGATGAAC